TTTTTTTTTTTTTTTTTTTTTTTTTTTTTTGTACTGGGGATCAAACTCTTGACCTTGTGCTTTCGAGGCAGGTGTGGCACCACTGAGCTAAATCCCAGGGCCATGTGCCCATGTGTGAATGTTTATAGTAGCTTTTTCCATAACTGTCAAAAACTGGAAATAACCCCAAGTGCCCCGATGAATACACAACTGCAGTGCTGCCTGTACAGTGGAAGACTCACCAATAAAGGAAACAAAATCACAAAGGAATCTCAAGTGCAGTGAGTAAAGCGGCACATTTGTATCACTCTGGGGAAGAGGATCCTATCTCACAGAAAGTAGAACATGACTGCTGAGGGAAGGGGACAGGAAAGGATGACAACAAAGGCGCAAAGGGCCGTGACGAAAATGCTGTATATTCTGATTGTGGTGACAGTTACAGTTATGTGTGTTTGTCAAAATCACAGAACTGCAGACCAAAAAGAATATGCACCTTACATATTAATGCTTAAAAAAAGACAAAGAAAAAAGAGTTTTTAAACTAAAAAGACAAACTACCTTTTCTAGTATACTCCTAAATGCTTTTACTATTAGAAAAAGAAAGTGAACGAAAGCAAGAAGTACCCAAAACTTATTTTCTACTTTAAAACTGGAAGTAAAATCCAAAATATCAATTGATTTAGGAAACTGTAATTTGGTGACAATCCCAACTGCCAAACCAGCTTGGAGTTAACCCACGGTTATTATAGCCGGTCCAAATCTCTACTTACCATCCTTACCCACACCAAATTGTCCCTGACACACACCAGTGCCAGCCTCCCCAGAAACATGCTAACTCACAATCTCCTGTGAGTTCTCGATCTAGCCACAGTCTTTCTAATCCCTGGCTTTGTATCTGTCCAGTCTCAGCCCCAAATATCTGCCTCATCTGTATTCTTTAAAAAGATTTTTGTCCAAAGAGATTTCAATTCAGAGTAAAATGATCTTCAGTGAAAAATAATACTAGGAGGTAAGACAAAACCATCTAACAACTTGCAAAATGTAACTTCTCTTAAGGTTCACAGAATACAATTTTCATAACGAACAAAATAAGCACACTTTAAAGTTTAAGATGTATAGCCTACCTCCAAAAAAAAATTAACCAAGTAGGGATCCTGTTTCAGCTTTGCACACACAATACAGAGAAACTGGATCTCTTCGTTTTCCGTTGGTGTTGCAAGCACTTCACCACAGAGTCGAATTAATTTCTGCCAAAATATTTTTTAATCTTATAAATATATATAAATAATCACCTATTTACCTTATGATATTTAAAAATATCAAATATTGGAAATATATTAATTAGACAGAACACTATTTAGTATCACCTATTTGTAAGTAAATTTATTAGTAATAAAATTTTCAAGTTCATTATCCAAAAAGTTAATGGGGTATACAATATATATACATATATATATATATATATATGTATGTATTTTTTTGTTTGTTTTGTTTTTTTTGTACCAGGGATCGAACTCAGGCCCTTATTATGCTTGTGAGGCAGGTGCCGGAACCAATGAGCTAAATCCCTGGCCCAATGGGGTATACAATAAACTCTCCTCACAAACTCATGGCGGTAAACTAAAAAGAAAATTAATGTTTAAAACTTGAAACAGAACTATAAAGATATTGAAATACATGCAATACAATCATGCATAAGGAAAGCTCCAGAATTTGCTAATTTGCATGTGATTTTAAAATTAACTTCTATTAATCTTAGTCTTATAAAAATAATATAAAACTGTTCCTACTCTAAAAGAAATCAAATGAAATGATTTTATGTAAGAAGAACAAATACCTGCACGGGCCTGTGCACATTAATGTGTGGAAGTAGTGGCTGCCGGATTCTTCCCAGAAGTTTAGTATAGAATACCAAAACCTGCTGTTTCATTCCTGGAGGACACTGGGAGCAGCAGAAGGAAAGCAAATAGGAAAAGAATAGAAAGACAAATGTACTCACTCGAAAGCTTAAACAGTGTTTATAAATGTATTCCTCAAGACAATGTAAAAATTGGCTGCTTAATGATTTTGTTAGAACAAAAAAAGTTTTTGCTTCATTTTTTGTTTGAGACGGGGTCTCATTATGTAGTTCAGACTGGCCTTAAACTCACTATATATATAGATATATATAGATATAGATATATCTATATATATCTATATATATCTCCCAGGATGGCCTTGAACTCACAGGAATCCTCCTGCCTCAGCCACCCAAGTGCTGATATTACAGGCATGCACCTTCCTGCCTGGCAGAATAAAAATTTTAATTAACATCAATAACTGCCATTCTAGAAATAAAATTATACATTTGAACCATAATACAGTGCAGGAAACCATAGCCTCCAGTAATTACAGACAGCATGGTAATAACATGCTGTTGAGATGAGAGACTGGTTTAGATGATGTCAGCTGGATAAATGCTGGGTGAACTTGAAACTCTTACTCCTCGCCAAGCAAAGGCAGAATCTTATTTATATTGACACGTAATCAATAACTTCCCATTACCTACACATAGAAGTAAATAAAGTTTCTTCACCGTGGACTGAGTATGAATCAGCAAGGTTAAATAGTCTGTAACTAAGAGCGGATACTGCCTCACAAATAAAATAGTCACAAAAGGAGTTATTTCCAAAATATCATAATGACGTGCTAACTGGAAATAGCATGATCTAAGGACTATGAAAAGTAATTTTTGTAAACCGGTATTTTTTGAGCTAGCAAATATCTTGTATTATTTAGAACACGAATAATATTTACAATCACCTATGTCAAAATGCAGTTACTAGTAGTACAATTACTAATTCAGGGCTCAAAAAGTCATCTAATACTTACTCAATTTTATGTTATACAACCTCTCCAAAGAACAGGACAAACAAGGGAGGAAGTGAATGAACTGCAAGCTATTAGAGAACAGTTTTGTTGCTTAGAAAATATAAGTGGAATGTATTTGACTGAAAAATGAATTGGAGCATTACAGACGTAATTAAAAGGAAATTGTTTTTAATACTATTCATAGATCTTTTGATGTTAAATGTACCCATGAATTTTAGTTTGATTTTTCAAATGTACTACAGAAAGTTACAGAACAGAACCATAGACTTTTCGAGTTAGGGGACACCCATTAGCGACCACATCCATGATTTTATTATTTATTTTTGGTACCAGGGATCGAACGTGGGACCTTGTGCTTGCAAGGCAGGTGGCGGAACCACTGAGCTAAATCCCCGGCCCACACTGCCATGCTTTTAATGAACAGAAAGATTAACCAGAGGTCACAGGGTGCTGGTGAGGAAGCTACAACTGGAAACCAGGCCTTTTAACCTGGAACCAAAGTTCTTCTTACCTCACACTATCAAATTCAAGGGGTGAACAAAAAATAATGTGAATATTTATACTTAAAAAAAAATTTTACAATAAAAGACACATTGCTATGAACCCCCCTCAAAGTACTCCCCCTAGCTTTGAACACACTGATCTCATTGTTCTTGCCCCTTTCTGAAACAATTCTGCAAGTCTCTTTTGTAAGTGTCTTTTCATGTCCCAAATTGATGAAAAGGATTTATGGTAATTTCTGTCAAATAAAAACATTGCAGTGTGTCTTCATCCATGTTACCCACCAAATCTGGCACAGTGTGACTTCTGGCTCTTCCTCAAAGTCAAAATGACCAAGAAAGGTAAACATTCTGAATCAGTTCAGGATATCAAGGCACCCATGACCGCACAACCAAAGTTAAACAGAAGAGGCCTTCTGGCCCTGCTTCAGAAAGTAGTTAAAACAATGGCATAAGTGTGTTCAAAGTGAGAAATGGTATTCTGAGGGGAATTAATGGCAATATATCTTTTACTGTAATAATGTTTTTAATTTAAACATTCCCTGTATTTTCCATTCATACTTTGTAGTTCCTTAAGTACAGTCACACTCCACATAATGTTTTAGTCAAAACAGACTACGTATGTGAGATGGCCCTAAAGTTATAATGGAACCGAAAAATTCCTATCACCTATTTTTTTCTGTACTTTTTCTATATTTAGACATGTTTAGATGCACAGATACTTACCACGATGTCACAAATGCCTACTATTCAGTGCATGTGTGTGGCCTCGGGCAGAAGGTACTGCCCTCTAGGTTGTGTACGCACACACTATGATCACACAATGGAATCATCTAATGACACATTTTCAGAACATATTCCTGTCAAGTGATACAAGAATATAGTTTGAAAGTTTTGTGACACAAAATATTATTTATATATGAGCTTTTTCATTAGGCCTAAAAATCTGAATTGATTCTATTCATCAGTTCACTTAGTATCAGAATTGTGACATTCTTCAAAACACTGAAAAATAACTTTTTTGTAGCCCAACTGTCACTAGGTTTTCATTTCCTTTGGTTCTGAGCATATGGACTTGCACTTATTTTCATAAATGTTTACACTGAAATTCTCAACAGCCTAAATATCACTTTTTGGGAACTCTCTATCTCTGTAGATGTCAGGGTTTTATACAAGCTGCTCAACCCGCTCCCCCAACCTGAACTTGAAACATGCCGTGTGCAACATGTACCTCTATAAAAAAATACGTGACGGTTTATGTCTCAGGCATCACTGCATCTATTACATACCCACCAATGTGGTGTAGACTAGCAACTTACATCAGCTTTCCCCAAGGTATATAATGTTTCCAAGATCTTGTGATGCAGTAGATATTCCATACATGGCCCCGTCTCTCCAGATTCCCGTTCATTTTCTTCTTGAACCAGTATATCTAGCATCTGTTCCAGATGGGATGGAATGTTTGTATCAGTCACTGGGGCTTTATCATCTAAACAACAGAAAAATATTTATCAAACACTCGAATATTTTAAAGTACCTACTTGTGCAAAAATTTCATCTGTATTTTCCTAGTATCAAACTGAGAAAATCTGAACCACTTTAGTGAGGTGTTACACACACTGTATAACTATCTTTGCAAGAATTAAGAAGATGCTTTTGCCATATTCTTATTCAAAAACTGTTTCATTACTCTGAAAGATATTCTAGCTAATATCCATCTATAATAGTTTAGAACTAAAAGCCACTTATGTGGGAAATGGGAAAATGATCAGAAAAATACATGTGTCAAGTTTTAAAAATATATTTATAATTAAAAATTTTTTTTTTTAACTTAGCCAATTCAGAGGATCTGAATTTTCAGTCTCTTAGTATAGCTATAGGTTGTTCTTAAACATTAAGTTGAGTAGCCCAAGATACACGGACAGGACTCGCTCTGATTTTGAATTCTACTCATTACTTTCTAGCACTGGGAAGTCAGCCACTTAATGCTGTCAATCTCTTCCCATCTATAAAACTATAAGAAGCCAAAAGGAAACCCTGCTATTAAAATTTCTGCTATCTCTATTTCCAAAGTCTGTTTTTTCAAAGTTGCTTCTCAGGGGAATATTACAGATTTTGAAAAATTAGAAGTTTATTGGTATTTTTAAACATATCATACGTGGACTTCAAAACTACATGGACCTTCCCTTATTAAGGGTTAAATTGCTCTTAATGAACTGTGAAGTTTGATAAATTGTCTAAATATAAAATTTATTAGGACCCCAAGTTCTTTCTTATGGCTGAATCAGCATTAACTTGGTACTTCTACAGTCTGCACCAGCAATCCTAGTCAGCTGTCTACGGTTCATGTGTGTCGGGGGAGGGCACACGCACACACACGCACTTCAACTTGAAATAGAAAACAGTGGAAATAAAAGGGATGCCCTCATCCCAGCTGGACATACACATCCAATTTGACAGGGTCTGGGACAGTTGTTCCGAGTGTGGGTGTGAAATTAAGACAACTTGGATTCGAATCTTGGCTCCGTCACTTTTAGTTGGACCTGGTATAAACTATTTAAGCCTCATCATCAACAACTATAACACAGAGCTAACACACAGCAGTGTACGTGTTGTATGACTGTGGTAAAATATATGGAAAGTCCACTGACTCAGCACACAGTGAAAATTCAAGAAATACTAACTTCTTAGCTCTCATTTCATAGTATGCTTCTAAATTGAGGAGTTTCCTGCTAAAGAAAGATACTTTGTAAATCTGCTTATAATTCACTTTTTTGGGGGGGTACTGGAGACTGAACTCAGGACCTCAAGTTTGCGAGGCAGGTGTGGGGTCATTGAGCTAAATCCCCAGCCCCTGCTTATAATTCACTTTTAAAAAAAAGTTTTTCTCCCTGTAAATGTAAATACGAATTTCAGGAAAGAATGAATATTCAGGACAGGGGTGTAGCTCAGAAGCTCAGCACCTGCCTGGCACATGCAAGGCCCTGAGTTTGATTCCTGGTACAAAAAAATTCCCTTCTCTTTCCCTTTCAGCACTAATTACACTACTTTGGTGGAGGAAGGATGAATGTTCAACTTTATTTTGAATACAATTACTTACGGGGAAAAAAAATGACCAGATGTTTAAGACTAAGAAAAGCAGTAACTGTAAATTTAATCTCCCTGGAAGACAAGATCTACTTTCTGCTGTCCACTCTCAGTATTTCTAAACCATCGCTGTTCCTGTGCCTTTGTACATGCTATGCTTTCTACTTGCAAAGCCTTTAATCCCCTTATCTACTTCACAAACTCCTATTCATCCTTTGCAGCCCAGATTACACAATGCCTGTTCCTGTTTCTTCCTTCCTCGTTCTTTCTGTACCTGACATTTCAGACTTTGTCACTTGTCGCTTCATTGTAATGCACTCATTTGTTTCTGCTACCAGATGGAGAAAAAAACATCTCTTAAGACAAAAACTTGTGCATTTCTTTAAAGCCCCAGAAGAAGAAAAAAATCACTAAGTACTCAGAAGAGTAATATGAAAAGACATCTCTTAAAAGACAGCTCTGAAGATCTGCTGAAATGAGGTTAAAACTGTATTTACATTTTAGGGCTTGAATTTTTTGATCCAATTTTTATTTATTGTTTAAATATGAAGGCTTTTTTCAACTACCCTCACTTTTTTCCTTTGTTAGCTAACGTGTGTCTGATCTGAACATCCGCCGGTGTTACCTACACGCTCCTCAGGGGAGCCCGCAGCACCACAGAACAGGGTACCAACCTCCTGTTTCCGAGGTTTCCGAAGTTTGGCACGCAGGTGGAATTCAGCCCTGTCATCAGTTTTTAGAAAATTAAGTTCTACTGCAAAGGAACCTCTTTGCTTTGCATTGTGTTGACTACAGCTTCTGCACTAGAACAGTAGAGCTGAAGAGCTGCAAAGGAGACTCTAAGGCCCACAAGGCCAGAATATTTACTATCTGGCCTTTTAAAGGAAAAGTCTGCCAACCTTGACCTACGTTCCTCACACTCCCATTTCTTATTCTCTGTCCTTCCTATTCACTGAGAAAAACAGAAGCAGCCAGAGCATAACATCTAGACTCCCTGCCCTTACGCTCTTGTTTTGCTTTCCATCCTGTCTTGGTAAATGAGAAGTCACCTCATCTCACTCTTGCGGCAATCGTTTCCTCCACTAGACTGTTCCTATCCGCTTACAAACTGTAACATCTGACATCTTTAAAAATTGTTTCAAAACTCTTTCTTGACCCCACTTCCCCCCACTTCCTCTTTATGCTGACACGCAAGAGGGCAGTCTGTGCACGTTTTCCTTCCATTTTCTCCTCAATTTATTCCAATTAGACCTTTTCTTCCTCCCTGTCATTAAATTGGATTTTTACCCAGGAAACAAATGAGCTTTTTGTGGCTAAATCCAGAGACCCATTCTAAGTCTTCAGGGTCATTTGATGCGATTAATCTCCCACCCTTCTGGCATACCATCTCTCTTGCTGTCTTCTAATTCAGGTAAAATAGCTCCTTTGCTACTGTTCTCTTCTTCCAAACACCGAACACCTCTGAATAATGAATACAGACTCTTTTTTTCTTTGGTACCGGGGATTGAATTCAGGACCTCGATCTTGTGAGGCAGGCGTGGTGCCGGGGACGCTGACTCTAAAGGTGTTCCCCAACATCTCATTTCTTCCACCTTTTCTTCCTTCCTAGATAATCTGCAATCTCATGGCTTTAAATCCTACATATATAATGATGACTCTTCATTTCCTACCTACCTTGACTTATCCAATTGAATAGGTAATGGGCCCCTCAAACAACACATCCAAAATCCTCTTCCAAACCTGTTCCTTCTGGAGTACTGTGGCACCTCCAATTTTTCTCTCGTTAGGCCTAAAACTTCAGTTGCCTTTCATAGTCCTACATACTCAATATCCAAGTTATAGACACTTTCCCTTCAGCATACATCCAGAATACAGTCATTTTCTCTTTACCCCATCTAAGTCACCACTGATGCTCTCTTTACTCCCCCACCCCACTATTAGGGATGAAACCTGGGGGTGCTCTATCCCTGAGCTATGTCCTCTGCCCTTTTTATTAAGACGGGCTCTTGCTCAGTTGCCCAGGCTGGCCTTGAGCTTGTGATCCTCCTACCTCAGCCTCTCCAGGACCTGGGGATACAGGCAAGTGCCGCCACAGCCGGCCCATCGTTATCTCGTCTGGACCATTATAACAGTTTGCTAGCTACCTGTTCTGCCAGCTTTAACCCTTTTTACTTCAATTTCTTCTTTTTCACAGAAGCCAAAGAGATTGCTTTAATATACGGACTATGTTACAGCTCCCCTCCAATCCCTTCAAAGGCTTCTTATTACAGAGAAAAGCTAAAGCCTTTAGGATGGAGTGCATGCCTCTATGTGGTCCGTACCTCCTGACGACCCTGGCATCTAACTTCACCTCCCACCAGGCTTCTCCTCTGTTACCTGCTGCAGACACGGGGGTTTCCTTGTCCTTCCTACTTTCCTCTAGGCAGGGTACAAGCTGAAGCCCTAGGGCTTGTGTACTGCATGCCCTCCCTGGGGCACTCTTTCCCACTTATCCAGCAAGCTCTGTTCCTCGCTCCTTACATTTCAGTTCAGAAATCTCTCTGAGCACCGTAGCTTTCTCTTACCTAAAGTAGCAGCCAACTATCACATCCACCTCCCAAATACAGAATTTTCCCCGTTCCCCTGCTTCACTTTCTCATTTCACACACTTCCTGTATTTGTCTGGTAACTGCTTGCCTTCCCTCAAATCAATATATAAGCTCTCAGGACAGGGCTGTTGCCTGTGTGACTGACTGTTCCACACCTGGTGCCTAAAACAGTTCCTGACACATAGTAGAGGCTCTCTAGATAGATTTTTAAATAAATAAAATGAATCTAAAAGTTAAATTAAAATTGTTTAAAGTTAAATAGAAAATAACTTTTAAAACTTACTTTGAAATAAACTTTAGTATTTCACAAATTCTGTATTTAATGAATTGATATTAATCATTGTTGCTTACCTGAAGTCTCTATGTAATAATGGGTAATTGCCTTCCAGTGATAAACAAAATCTTCTTGTAAAGGAAGAGAAGGTGCGAGCTACATAAACACACACAAAAAGACCGCAATAATTAATTACATGACATTAAAGGTTTCCCATAAAGTGTAACCCTAGATTTGCCAATTATGCTGCAAAAGCAGCCTAAAAATAAGGGTTGAACTTTAACTGGATTCTGCATATCAGCTGTCAAAGAGAAACAAAGTTAGCTGAATCCAAGAAAGTAAAATGATTTATTATAAAGGCGGAAATACACATTTATCAACATTATTATTAAACTACAGTATTGGGCTTTTTTTCTTTTTCCAATAACTGTATGGCTTGAAAAGTAATTATGTTAAACCCAAACACAGCAATATTCTATTACTGAAGTATCAGTAAAATGAAATTACTGATAGCCAGAGATCTTTGTACCTAGGACTTTGAAAGCCAAACAGTAAAAGTTGCTACACAATTAGTTCCACATCACAATTACAACATACGGCAAAATCAATGTCATAATCATATTAATGTGTTCCCTAGTTTCAGTGACACATCAATGTTATTCTTTGCCTATTTAAGCCTGGCTTAGGCAGTGCATATTTTTAGCAAAATAACTAAGTATATGAATAAGATATTACCAATTTAAATCCCACAAAATCAAACATGTCTTACATGTTAAGTTTTGAGATTCATTTCAGAAATTTTAAGGCCAGAATTACATCTCTTCAGCAAACTACAAACTGACATGTATTCTAAAGGTGTGCTGAATGGATAGAAAAAAGGTTGCTCACATCATTTCCTTAAAATGAGTGAGAGTGACAGTGTCCCTCTTCTTAAAGTCATCGACCCATTCTCATGGCTGGGGATTTAGCTCAGTGGCACTGCACCTGCCATGCAAGCACAAGGTCCTGATTCAATCCCCAGTACTATAAAAACAAACAAACCAAAAACCAAAAACAAACATACCAAAAAACACATAATCAATCCATTCTGGTCAGAAAGCAGAGTTGACCCCGCTTAGTTTAGAGCAAACAGGTTTCTATTCTGGGAACCTAAGACACGGCAGAGTAATCTTCATTTTCATATGCTTCTTTACACACGACCTAAGCAAGTCAGGTTACTCCTGTAACTCTGGTTGCTCCAGCCTGACTTCTCAGCAGAGACCTCCAAGTTGACAACACTCTCAGAACAATTTCCAAACTACTGTGCAAAGTAGAAATATCCTAAGTATTTCAATACAAAAGAAGACATGTACTTCTTTTAAAAAGCCCTGAAAAATGCTCAGCAATCAACATCTTCTTAACGCTAACTCTTCAACACTTGCCTATTTGCAACACTCTGAATGGAACTAGATTAAGAAAATATAAATATCCACCTCATTTTTAAGTGGAATGCTGTGAAATCTCAAAGACTGCAAAAAAGGAGTTAAAACCTTTGGGACTACTATACCTCAAGGAGAACATGGAGAGAAAGACTTATGGGAAACTGAAGAAAAATTGGGAAGAAAATTAAAAAGGAAAGTATGTATTAACTTGGGAAAACAATTATCATTCTGCAACTGTTAGTTAAAAATCTTTTAGTAAGCTATTTATTTTCAAAATTTCCCTACTTGTTTGGGTCTAGCTTTTATAGACTATCATTACATTGTTAAATATACAAATAAGTAGGACAAACATTGTAGAATTTAGTCTTTCAAGACAGGTATCCATTTTATAAAGTATAAATGTAGTCATTGCTTAAATTTTTCCAGGGGAACCACCTAGATCACTACAGAATTACAGCGACCTTTTCCCAGCTTATTTCTCCAGTGGGACTTAATGTGCTTTGAGGATATGTCACTGAGACCTTCACCACAGGCTATGGTCAGTTATTCCTCAGTACTGTGCCTCTCTCCCAGGGGAGACAGCGGAACAGTACACACTGCTCACTTAGCTTAGTCACAATCTTACGCAAACATAAACACATGTCCTTACTTAAAACTTCCTAGTAAACTTGCTGTTTTGGACTAATTCTAACATGCAAATTACCTATTTTATCCGTGCATAAATACATTTATGCTCTGGGTTTAAAACTTTAAAGACAGAAACAGATGTGCAAATCAGTAACAAGAGGACCAATTTAACTTTTTACAGTCAGAGACTACATTTTTAAAACGCATCTATTTCTACCAAAGTGGACACAAATACTTAGCTGAGACCGGGACTCCCTTCCCCGTCCTGGCACCACCAGTCTGACGCTCTCCTAACCCGCACTCCACTCCGGGCACTGTTCAACCACCCATCTCCTCCACTAGCTGTACACTGTGTCAGGGCTGGGACGGTGTCGTCTTTTTCGGCACTCAATCTCCTATTTCCCACTCAGAGATGGCACAAAATACTCAGTAATCTTAAGGGAAGAAACGCACAGCACAGCATTCACCGTCATGCCAGGGGCAGGCTACAAAGTTTGCGTGTGCTGACTACATGGTCTTAAATTCTCACAACAAATTCCTACACTGCTCAGGCTCCTATCCAGGTCCCAAAGCAGCTCATCGACATGCCCTAGGAAACACAGCTTTTAACTGGAAACTGGGACTTTCTTCAACAGGACCTACATGGATAACTCAGGTAAAAACTAGTGTTTTAACATTTAACAGTCCCATATGTCATCTGCCTCCCCTCTTTAACAGCCTCACTTTTTTGCTTCCTTTCTTTCCCCTCACACTAGGGATTGAACAGAGGACCTTCACAGTGAGCTCCATCCCCAGCTTTTAAAATTTTTAAAAATGTTGACAGAGTCTGGCTAAGCTGCTAAATTGTCCAGGTTAGAACTTAGAATCCTCCTGCCTCAGCCTCCCACAGTGATGAGATTACAGGAATGTGCCACACACCACACCCAGCCTTCCCTATGTTCACTACCTCTCCATAATCTAACTGGTCTCATTTCTTCCACAGAACCTTCTCCAAGTCCTACAAAATGCTCACTCCTTTCCTCCTACAGACCTCACCGGCCTGGCCGAGCCAGTCAATTTGGCAACAATGAATACCATTTGTTGAACACTTACTATATCCCAGGCCCTGGACTAAGCACTTCCTGTACATCGTATTTTAATATTTACAGCAACTTTAAAAAATGGATCTAATTAGTACAGGTAGCACAAATGGTGCTGGAAGACCACTCCCTCTCCATTCACCAGAATTTGGGCAACGCCCAGGGCCAATCCTCTTTCCTCCTAAGAAAAACAGAAAATAAAAATAAGAAAGACTCAAGAAGTCTCTAAAGCTCCAGGTCAGAGCACAAGCCTGTTAGATCTTATAGACTAAGCTTTGGTAATCTTTTCTAGACCTTCCTTAAAGTTAGGTACATATGGATCATATCTCAGGTATGAAATTTAACAGAAGTGAATTTTGGGACAGGCATGCATACTTTGCTGCCCCTAAAATGACTCAGCACCCTGTCAATCATTTCTGTCAATCTTACCCTGACAGCCAATGAGCGGTGCCCCAGGTGGGTGCAAGTCTTAAAATCTGAAAGCCTGGCTGCTGGGATAAGGCTCAGTGGCACCATGTCTACCTCAGAAGTGCAAGATCCTGAGTTGGATCCCTAGTACTGGAAAAATTAAAAATAAAAAAATCTGAAAGCCTGATTTATCTGTGTGCTTTTTATTTCTCTGCTGTGCCCATACCATTTTTCTGTTCATGCCCCCTTTTGCTTCTTGTTGTGACCAACCTGCCCTTTACAGTCAAGAAACGGAAATGCTTTTTCTTTTGCCACTGGATGCCACTTGCAATCCTTTGCCTGCCATACACTGTAACTTGGAAATTCTAGGTTCCATCATGCGGTATAATTACTTCCATTTTAAAATGAGGAAATGGGAATGTACAAACATTTGGCAACTGTCCACGTGTAGAAGTGGCACAGAGAGCTGTATTCAGTCTGAATCTAGAGGTTAGGGTAGATTCTTTTACATTCTTATATTATGATTTAACTTACGTATTTATTTTGTTTCCCAAAGCAAAGCTTTTCGACCAAGGACAGGGATATAAGGTACCTCGTTTCCTTAGCCATGAGCTATGCGTTCACTGTAGCTCATAAAGCATTTGCTGAATGAGAAAAGGAGTGACTTTAGAGATCACTTGTTGGACAATAATAGCACACTTTAAGGGGACATTATGAGCAGGTGGCAGAGGAGTGTAATCCTAGCACTCTGGGAGGCTGAGGCAGGAAAATGCCAAGTTTGAACACAGCCCGATCAATTTAATGACTTAGGGAAAATTTAAAAAGGGCTGGGGATGTAGCTCTGTCTGTGGGAAGGTCTTGTGTACAACTGGGGGGGGGTAAGTAAAACATGTAAATCTGAGGTTTAATTCCAAGGCAGAGTAGAAGAAATGCTAGTCCCAACAATCACGATTAACTAACTGTATTACTTGAGGATAAAATGTGGTATTTGAATTCTGAAGGATGACTTCCATTGAATGGATAAAATACATAAAACTTTCTTCTTTGGTGTTGCCCTTTACCCTCTCCAGAATAAATCGGCCATCAGGGTTGGACTGGTCGGAATGTAAACAGAAACAGCCCGTGGCAATTACTTGCCCAGGACTAGGCTCTCAACCAATTCTAAATAGTGCTAAACTGAAAGCGTTATCTAGCCTTTGGAAAAGTTGTGCTGAAACAATCTAATGTCAGGTGTGTGTGTGTGTGTGTGTGTGTGTCTGTGTGTGTGTGTGGTGGGCCACATGCCCAAACCTTTAAAAAGTTATTTTAATTTTGGGACAAGGTCTTAAGTCACTAATTTGCCCAGGCTGATCTGAAACTTGTGATCCTCCTGCCTGAGCTTCCTAGAGTGCTGGATAAGAGAAGGCTGACTTCAGACTTGAGACAAGCACCAACTAGGGAACAGAACACATTCATTTGGTAAGACTCCTAACAGCCAGTCATTTCTAAACTTCGGAACAATTGTACTTTCTGAAAAGGAAGGCAAGAATTACATTATAGTTCTTGTTTTTGATCAAGGCATGGATTTCTTCTATACTCTTAATGTCGCCTGACAGCTTAATAACCCATTTTCAAAATACTAATCTTTGAAAATATCTTGGTTATATTTTCCTCTGGGTAAGAAGTTAACAGGAATTGACTAGAAACCACTAAATGATAAGGACAACTCATCACCTAACCTCATTTTAATGAATATGAATTAGGTCAACCTTAAAAACACTGGTGAAGCCTGACCCAAGGGAATACTGAAACCTACCGGAAGTGGCCATTGTAAAAGGCTGGGAAAGTCTGACCCCAGACTCACACAGTGACAGCTGAACAAACAAAGGCCATGTCACCCTTCAGGCACAGAGCCACCTCCTACCTCCAACCCGGGGAACTACAGCACCTGGAAAACTGCATCAGAAATGAAAAGGAATGCAGAGAAGAGCTCATGAACTGAGGAATAAGAGCAGTTGATAAAAGAAAACATCATGTAAAAAACTATGGCACCCAATAACTGGAAACTAATCTCCAGTATGAAAAATCACTCTTTAAATACCACCAAATAGCTTGCTTATCCTTGTTATCTACAGGAGAGAACGTTAAAGGAGAAGAAAGGCATTGTGTGAGCTTTATCTCCTCTCACGGTGAACTGGGTGGGAAACACTAGCTGGAAAAACCACTGAATGAAACATCACTTTTCTGAAGTCAACGCACTGATTCTGAGAACCAGGTGAACACACCTCACCTGAACTTAGCACAGTAGGGAGCCTGGACATAACAGAGGCGGACAATTTAGTGGGTGAGCTGGTAGATGCTAATAAAATACACAATGATAAAAAGATTTTGAGGACAGAAAACACAGGCCTCGGGACAAAACTGTGTCTGGAGCAAAACCACCTCAGCACACACTTCTGTAAATATCGGCCTGACAGCTAAAGACTACAAATAATAGTTTTATCCCCAGTGATCTCAATATTGGGCTATATTCAATGTTAGAAGTTAAATGAGTCTCCTCATTTTAAATATAAGTATTACTGTTCTTATACACTGTGATTAAATTTTTATATAATGATGCTGCAGACTGAATAAGAAAGTAAAACTGAAAGTGTGGCTACAAGTGTCATCTCGTGTAGCAACTCTTCATTCCTGACACCCTTTTTGACGTTTCCAAAGGGCTGTCCTTGAGCTAAACTTTTTAAAAAACCTTTCCCAAGTCTCACTTAAATGACAAGTACACTAAAGCCTTGTTTTCACAACCGAAATAAAACTATTTTTGTTACCTGACCATGACGAAATAATTTTGTTGTGGATTTTAAACCTGAACACTGAAAGAGGGCACTATTTTTAAAATAAGCAAAGTAATATTTCTTTGCAGAATGCATTTTTCAATTGCACCCTTCTCCCAGAATAAGGCAAACAACTGAAGTAAGGTGACTACCCCTCTTATTATTAAAACAGCAGCAAAGCATTCTCTTCAGTTTCTTCTCTTGTATTAAGCTATGAGTCCTGTGCCTCTCTTCTGGCGACTAACCCTCCAAGGAGCCTACAAGTGTAGGAGAAACCAAGAGCGTCAGGGAAGAGAATTACGACCCAAAAAAAGAAGCAGACGGACCCGATCGGGCCGCGAACTCCCATCGCGGATCCACCGATCAGGTCCGGCGGAGTCGGGCCGCCAGGCCTGAGGACACAGAGGCCAGCGCGGTTACCTGTGCCTCTCTTCTGGCGACTAACCCTCCAAGGAGCCTACAAGTGTAGGAGAAACCAAGAGCGTCAGGGAAGAGAATTACGACCCAAAAAAAGAAGCAGACGGACCCGATCGGGCCGCGAACTCCCATCGCGGATCCACCGATCAGGTCCGGCGGAGTCGGGCCGCCAGGCCTGAGGACACAGAGGCCAGCGCGGTTACAAAACGGGCCGGTCCGCCGCGTCCTCCCGGAGCTCCC